TCTGGGTTCACATTTTCTTTTACCGTAACCGCCATGAGAAATTGTTCGAACCAAATTTTAAATTGCCACGGAGGGTCTAAATTCGCTGATGCCCAAAATACCGGGATTCCCATATCCGTTCTGTTGTCTTGAGCTGCGAATCCTGCTGGCTGCGCCATGTGATATGCGTTGCGATATCAAATTGAAAACAAGTTGGAATTCAATACTTTATTTAGAAGATTGAATTTAGATTTTTTCTTTTCTTTGTTTTCTTATGTACTGAGAGATAGATCGTTGTTAAGTACTCTGATCTCTCACTTAGTCTCAGTGTCATCACTTATGTATGACCTTGAGCGTACCATAAAATAATGATTTAACACCAGAGGTTGGCTGTACATCCGTATAGTGAGTACTGCTACTGCAGTAGCGGTATGACAATAGGATTCTAATTAGTTATAAGCCCCCCCCCTCCCCGACGTAGCCGCTCCCCGATGTAATTGTTTTTTTGGGGGGTGGGGGGTGGGGAGGGCTATAATTGGATAGAACTTGCTTAATAGTCCTTTAAGAGAGCTCGCGTAAAATGAAGCTGATCGACAAAATTTCCCTCCCGCCTCTAGAAAATCCTAAAGAAAAGAAAAATTTGCAAAAAAATATCATTTTACGAGAAACTAGTCCGTAATCTAACCAAAAACGTTCTCTATGACATTTATAGATATCTGATGTTGCTTTTTATTACTAGTTTATCATGACTATCATGATTACCGTAATTTACTAGCTTTTTAAGTCCCATGAATATTAAAATATTTAGGCTGAAATATTTAGCTGAAATATAAACAAAAATTGAAAATTATTGCATCATTGCAATAAATTAGGCTAAGTTTACTACAAATTTCGCTGAATTGCCAAAAAGTATTTACAGTCTTCATTGATAAATACATACTGTCTGATGCAACTGTTAACATGTTTGTGTTACTTTATTTTTACTGCGGGATCTTTTAATCAAACCCTTTGATTTGACACCCCATGCTTTTTACCACAATAGAGCCTAACCCAATTTTTACCCCAGGTTTGTTGGTGTTTCTGACATGTCTTAGCAGGTGTTTCACGTAACTACCATTCATGCTAAAGAACAAAGGGGCTTAGAAACAATAAGAAAGAAAAAAATTGGATTTTAGAAACGGCGGTGGGTAAAAAGGTACAATAAGAAAATGGGCGTCCATATCTCTACATCAGCTTTTTAATCAGCACCATAACAAAATCGATCTTTTTCAATTAAAATACATACAACTTAAATCTTGTTTATTAAATATTTTTGCTTTGGCACCCGCAAACACCATGTGAAGTTTAAAATGATAATATCTCATTTAGTGAGCTCGCTTTTGAAAAAATTAATTGCCCTAAATTAATTTGGTATAACTTTTACGTTGGAATCATTCGCCAGTTATTATCGCAAATTACCCAAAATGGCAATTTGCAACACCCAGAACTCTACGAAAAATTATAACAGGCAAAAATGTATTTTTAAAAACTCGAGAAAACTATATATTTTAGTAGTTGATATGAAAGTGAAGCCAAAAGCAGTAGGTTTTAAAAGATATATTATTACAAAATAAAAAAAACGTTTTAAAATAACAAATTACATGATCAAAATAAAATATCAAAAACGGTCAGACAAAAAAAAATTCCAAGCATTAATATTTTCAAAGAACTAAAATTAAAAACAGTATTCTTAGTAAAATGCTTCAGCATAAACTTGCATGCAACAATCATATCTCAAGGTTGGTACCACAACAACTCGCAACAAGAGAGAACTTGTAACGAAAGACAACTCGGTAAGCTTAGGAAATTAAATGCAAACTGAAAAATTTTTGTTTAAGGTCCCCGGCTCAAGATAACCGTATTTAAATTTCGAACAAGACTGCTCGTTTTAGGGCGAAGCTCTGAAAGTTCCGACTGCCTTTTAACGTTTATGGAGAAGTAATAACATAAACAACATAAAAAAATAAATGAAATAAATCATAATGAATTTTTTTTTCCAAAATTTGCAATTTTTCCATAAAAATCATCCCCCCACACGCCATATAAATTAGAAAACAATAGATTTCGCTCCTTGCTTCAAATCAATTATGGCAATTAAGCTTCTTTCAACTAATTTGGAACGATTTCTAAGACGGATTAAATCTCCGCTTACGCGTTAATAGCGCGAAATATATCGCGCGTTAATTGTCCCAAATTGGTCAAAATGGCCAAAATGGCAATCTTTAAGCCCTCATAACTTTACGAAAAATGATCACAGAAGAAATATCTTTTCAAATTTAAGCTCAAGACAACAATAGCTTTCGAATGATATTAAAAATTCCGTCAAATATGGCTAGTTAAAAAGTCGAAATTTGTCTGAAGAAAAAAAAACCCAACCGAGCACAAATATTCCGTTACTTTCGTATCGAAAGTCGGAAAAATTAAGTCCTAGCCATGGCTAGTGTGATAGCGAGTATATTGCGAGTCGCCTTATTACGCTCGTTGTTTCTTCTAATTTTTGAAAAGAAAGAAAGGAAAGTTGTTAATAACAAATGTTCTTTTATTATATAGACTGCGTCTATAAAAAAAATTTTGTTTCACCTGAATGTGATATAGAAAACTCTAGACGTGTGTAGTTTTGAAAACACTATTTGCTATTTAAAAACTATTAGAAAACTTGGTGAAAGACAAGAAGACGAGTCTGATCTAGACAGTGAATTTAATAACGAGCAAAAAAACAAAATGAAGGCTTTTTGGCGGGCACTTGAACAAAGTAGACGTTACACAAATAATTGCTTCACAACTTGCTCGCCCTCAAACTCAATAAAAAAACTAATTGTTCTCGTAAACGTAAATGGTCGATTCAATGTTTGGCTAATAAATTTCTTCTAATGGTGTGCCTTGTTCTGCTTTGTTTGCTTTACTATCTCCCATAATTGCCTATTAAGTTCACTGTCTGGATCATTCCTTGTCCTTCACCGAGATTTTTTGCAATTGAAACATAAAATGGCTAATTGCCTAGGAATTATCTTCATCATCATAAAAAAGAGAAAAAATTGAGTTTTCTAATAAACAGTGTTGAGATGGACATTACTTCTTAGAAATTAGCTTGAAAGTAATAGATTCGAAAAAAAACTTAGTAATTTTTTCCAGTCAATTTTAAAAATCTTAATTCAAAACTGCTGTCTAAGTCTGAAAAACAGCAAAATTAGCTTTAAAAGTTTTGAGGAAAATTACAAACATGTTTACTAACTAATCCAGAAGTAATATAGATTTTTTTTGGTAACAACGGCCTAATGATGCTGAAACTTTCTCAGCTACAGGCCTCTCTCTTTTTTAAAAAGAGTCTGAAATGTGTCTTTTATAGGCCCTTCTAGAATGTTCTGACCAAAAAACGCGTTTTTTTTTGCGTGCACTCATCTTCATGATTAATAAAATTAGCATATTATTTCATTTTAATTCAATTCAATAACTTTTGTTTTTGAGCGCAATAAACCAATAAGCATTTAAGCCTTGCTCCAGAGAAATTTGCCGTCCTAGACAGAAGTATTGACCGAGGTGGACAGAGTTACACGTTATCTTGAAATGAAAATGTGCTGCTGAATAAAAAACTTTTTATTATCATCAAGCACTGAAAAGCGCTCTTGTATAACGTTTTTATGATATTGTTCTATCATTTGATTTTTTTTCTGCCCCTAAACAACTTTGGTTAAAAAGTAACCAAAAATGAGTATGGCTCTTTAAAATGGCAGCACTACTGGTAGTACCATAAAGCTACGAAATAACTATTTTAAATTTTTCCAATTGTTTTCAATGAATCACAAATATTTCAAATGCAGTGCCAAGCGATTTTAAACAATTTTCAAATAGTTCGCTCAAATTTTTCTCGTAGTCTATCGAAGAGAGGAGCGTCACAGGAAATATATTGTTTCTATCTTAAAAATGAGCCATCAAAACGACTGATTTTCAGCTGGTGGCTGTATAATGGTTAAAGAGGCAACCCAGAAATTATAAGTATCATAATAAAAATTACTTCAGTTAAAATTGCGCGAGCACTAAGGTGAGACGCTCACTTCGTTCTCTTGTCATGGTAATGATAGAGTGTGTGATGAGGATATATACTCTCACTTAAGCTGTAGCTTCAGGTCTACCACAGCCTGGCCAATTTCGGGTGCAATAGTAGTACCATGTAAAACTTCTAGGCAAAGAAAAGCAGCTGTAGTAGCAAAAAAAAACTTTTGCAGACGAAAAAACTCAGTCTGGAAGTGGGGAAATAATACATAAGGCATTTCCTCTAATTGGCTTCTTAACGATTAATGGAAACTCCTCTGCGATTTGGATATTTGTGTCATAATTAAGTTATGAGGGCTGCTAATTTTTCCCCGAACTAAAAAAAATCATATTCAAGGATAAATCTAACAAAATCATGTATGTCAGTTTTTTTTTTCATTTCTGACAATAAGTTAACAGCTTATAAGCCGTTAACTTAAAATTAACCCATTAAACAGAAAACTTGGTAAAAATACGGTATTTGAAATGATTTAGGAGAGCTTGGGAAATCATTATGGACAAGGGAGACTTTTAAAAAGGAATAAAAAAGAGTCGACAGGCAAAATTTTGAATTATTTTTGAAATTCCACCCCTCCCCCCCACCCTCTTTCGAGAGCACCTTTGATCCGCTGCTGATTCTGGTAAAAACAAATCCTTGTCTTAGAATAATCCAGCTAATAAAAGTTCTCTTTCTAAACTTTCAAAATGATTTTTGAGTTGACTCATTGACCTTTAAACACATCAATAGCCGAAAATCAAAGCTCGTTTCGCTCGCGCATTTTTTAAAGCTAAAAATAATAAATTTAAAGAGTTTCACTCTTTCTTTTTTTCTTATCTTTTTTTCTATGACGTCATCCCAGTCTTTATAACTGTAAAAGAGTAAACAATAACCGTGAAATAAATATGGTAACCCTAAATTAGGAGCAATTTATTCTGATGATTTTAATTTTCAGCCAATGCGGAGAAATTGAAGTTGAGCGAAGTGATAACGACGCCGCAGGTGGAGTTGCCGGAGATTGTAGTGCAGGAACCGACAGTCGTGCAGCACGACAACGAGCAGAGCCGAATCATGAACATGCAACTGGCAGACTACAGCGACGACTACAGCGACACAAGCACTAGCTCGAGGTACTAACCTCACTTTCATTGAGTTAATTAACATTAATTTAATAACATTCACGATAATTAATTAACGTTAACAATAACATTAATTTAATAACATAAGTTAACATTAACAATAACATTAACAATAATTTAATGTTAATTGATAATTTATTTAATTTATTTAGAAGAGTTGAGAATACACATACAATAAATTAATGAAACTGCTTGTACAGTGCTGATTTAAATTATCCGGACAAAACGAACAAAACTTCAATTTTCAAACGCGTTTTTCTCAACTTGGGTTAAGATTAGACAAAAAGTGAACAGAACAGAAGTTGCTTAAAATTTCATCAGAATTATTATGGTGTAATTTTTTCTCCGAAATTCTCAACCAAAATTTTACCCCGAAAATGGGTCATTTTGGCTTTTTTCAATTAATCAAGAATTACGCTGAAACTACTTTGTTAATTGATAAGTATATTATATCATTAGAAGCCTCTTCCGCAGCCCAACAAAGTTTAACAAGGGTTAAATCTCCACAAATTTGCGCAAATTGTTTAAAATTTGATTTTAAACAGAGATTCTGGGTTTTAGATAGTAAAAATCACATTTATTGACTATCAAGTAAAGTTTTTTTCTCTTATACTGGTTTTTGGAGATTTAACCCTTGTTAAACTTTGTTGGGCTGCGGAAGAGGCTTCTAATGATATAATATACTTATCAATTAACAAAGTAGTTTCAGCGTAATTCTTGATTAATTGAAAAAAGCCAAAATGACCCATTTTCGGGGTAAAATTTTGGTTGAGAATTTCGGAGAAAAAATTACACCATAATAATTCTGATGAAATTCTAAGCAACTTTTGTTCTCTTCACTTTTTGTCTAATCTTAACCCAAGTTGAGAAAAACGCGTTTGAAAATTCAAGTTTTGTTCGTTTTGTCCGGATAATTTAAATCAGCACTGTACAGAAAAACTTGCCAGGATCATTCAAAATGCTATACATTTTGTCCAGACATGACCCTTGATTGATTAATTAATTAAGAGAGCGATAAATATAAGGATTAATTAGCTAAATGAAGAAGGCTCGAAGCACATCGTAATTCTATGCTCGTTACTTAAGGATAAAGTAACATCCCACGTTAAAGCGAAATTCAAGAATTTAGCCGAATCTTACATATTGTATGGAACAATCGAAAACCTTTCTAAAAATTTTAAATCATGAACGCAATCAAATTTTGTGAGAATCTTCAGAGAATTTTACAAGAATTTTGGACTTTAAGTAGTCTTTAAAAGTCTTTCAGGTAGTAACACAAAACACAACTAATAATTTTCATTATTGAAACTTTTAACACTTTAGGAGGTTTATATTGAAAGCTAACACTAAATTAATAAAACAGTCACTAAAACAGAACGCTTTTTTTCTGACCGTTGAAAATATCTGGAAAGTTTTAGTTATATTTACCTTTTACACTTGTTTTCTACGCAAAATTAGGTAGCAAATCTAATCATCAAAATGGGTCAAGTGGTATTTCAAATTAAAACTTTTTCAGTCGTGATTCGAACGAAATTTAAAAAAATTCAACATTTTTTCCCAGTGTCAAAAAAAAGAATTGTAAAGCGATCGGGTAACGCGATTGAGTAACGAGTAACGATCGAAACTTGAACATTTAATTTTAATTAGACTTTTAGGCTAAATTAATTAATTATACTATAGCCAAAACTAATTTTGATGTTTTGGTTGTTCAATTAGGTGTTTCTCTGGCAAAAAAGGTTTTCTATAAAAAGTTTAACTTTGTGCAAGAAAAATTAGAAAAAAAAATACAATTAAAAAATTTCTTAATTTTTGCTTTGTCATTCTTTTTTGAAGACAATGTTTTCGCTTAAGTCTAAGTCAATTTTTTCTACTCGGTTGTAATAGTTCTCAAATCCCACTAAAACGAACTTTAACTTTATGAAAAGAAACACTTTTTTTATCATGAGTATGGTCTGAACATTCTGTACTTCTTGTACATCAACCGGTTATCCTTGTTATGTACTATACAATAAGCAGCAAAAATGCTACAAGAACCAAAAGCAAAAAAGAGCTAACATAAATGACTCATTTGTGCATGACCACTTGAAAAAAACTAGTTCTATTTTTTCATGATTTCAGGAGAAGCACCTCAACTTCCCAGAAGAACTGGTCACTTCTCCGACACAAGTTCGTTCCGGCCACAAAGGACAAAACAATCGAGAGTTCCAGACGAGCTACCAAAGAAAAGGCTGCCAGAATTTTGCAGATGCAGCAACGACAAATGAGCGTTGAGTCTCGAACATTTTCTGCTAACGCTATAGTGTCATCGGTAGGTTCTTGCGGCACGCTTCCCGTAGAGCAGAGTTCGAACCAGCTTTACGACAGGGACGCCGGAGTTGAGCACCAACTTGAAGATCAAGTGCCAGTTGTAATGTCCTTTCGTCCGCAACGCCCGAAAATTTTACACCTCGGGTCGAGTATTGACAGCAACCAATCAAATCAGAGCAACCGATCCGAAGTGATGCGACTTCGGATTCAAGACTGGGCCGAGGAAAATTTGCCCTCGCCTCGTTTCGCCGACTCGCCAATTGAGTCGAACGCTTCGGGGTGCTCCGATGCATCGCAGCGTGGGGTCACGTTCCAAACCCCCAAAATGACAAAACGCGTTCAAACTCCGACCGTGAAAATAGCCGAAAAACGAAAGAGGTTCACCAGACGCTCAATTAAAAGACGCGCGCAAAATCGATTTCGGAAACGAAACGAGGCGAGCGATACTCTAGGAACTGATTCGGAAACGGAAAAACCCAACTCGCCGCCGACTGTTGAAAAAAATAAACAGCGACAGACCGCGACTAAAAAGCCGACAGCAAAAGAGCCGACAGCCAAAGAAGCGAATAAAAGCACGCATGTGTACACGCAATGCTCACATGAGACGGGTCAAAGACAACTTCGAAGACACCACAGAAACAAGCGAATCTTCAAACTTATTGTGATTTTGGTGTCCATTTATATTTCATGCTGGTGTCCGTATTCGTTCATAGCGTGTTTGAAAAGTCTCTTAAAAGTACCAGTACCTCAGTTTTTATTCGATTTCTCAGTGTGGATTTTGTATTTTAACTCATGCTTGAACCCTATTTTGTACGTTTGGCGAAACAGGGCTTTCAGAACTGCATTCGTGAATTTGTACAAAATGAGGCCTAACAATAGAATGCCTCATCGATAATGTAATAAATCAGGGGTGGATCTGAATGTTTTGCCAATGACCTTCAAAATTTGATTATTTTGTCGAGTATTGTAGTCAAGCTCTCCTAAAAATCAAAAGTAAACATATTTTCACAAAATTTCTGCTCAAAATATCCATAACTTGCTAAAATAGCAAATTTTACAATTTTGGGAACTTTTTTAAAGAAAATATTGACCAAAAAGTCGAGCGCTCTCCTCAAATTAATTCACTTTGGCGCCAAAAGCACATTCAGAAATTAACGGTTTATCGACTCAAAATAGATTACGTAATTTGTTCTTAATGGGTAGGCACGGTTTGGGTTGTGCGAAGCTCAACCCCTCCCCCCATCACCCCTGAAATGAATGCTTTTGATATCTATTGTCTTTATTTTCAGCCCTCGAAAGTGTTTCTAATTTATACTTGATTCATTCTTCAATTTAGATGTTGCAAAAATAGAGAAGAAACTAAATTTGAAATTTTTCACATTGAAGTTTCAAATTTAACCGTGAATTTCATTTTGAATTGTGAATAATTGAATTATCTGTCTTTATTGACGAAAAAAATGTTTATTTTTATTTGTTTTTGTTCTTTTCCTGATAACTGCTGTTTGATGTTTTCATACCATTCTATTTTCATCAATGAATCTAAATAAAGCGCTTCAGCATAATTTCGAAAGCTGTAATTCAAAATTAAGACTTCTACTTATGAATTGAGATTGAGATTGCAAGAAAAAAATATAACGCTCTAATTGATTTTTAAATGCCATTCACTGTTTTAAGCTACAATTGATATGTGAACAAAGTCTTATTCCCCAAAGATAATGAAAAAACTGCATTTAAAATCACAAAAATGGAACGAAAACTCTCCATTTTCCGTCAATTGAAAAGAAAAACACATTGTGAAAATACAAGAAGAACTAATTTCTGACATAACTCAAAGCCTTTACTTGAAATTTTCCATTAAAGCACCACAATTTCAAGCTTTTGTTTCTCGTTTTTGTTGAAAGTGTGTACTTCTGAACAAATAATTTTCAGAAGAACAAATCACTTTGTTTCCATTCAAAAAATGAACCACAATTTCAAGTTGTATCTTGAATAATTGTTGTATTGAATCATAATGCCTAAAAGTATATGATTCTTAGCCAGTCTGGTTCGATAAGATGTTTGACACTGAGTTCTTTTGATTCGGCAGCCAATAATTATCTTAAAAAAATAGGAGTCAAAGTTTAAAAAACTCGAGTCAAAGTTGAATTAGAGATTCGAGGTTATAAAAAAATTGAGATGAATTCCAGTCGAGACAAGGTCGAGGCGAATTCGCGACTTAAGGAGACCTTTATTTTAACCGTAATTTATCGAAACTGACGTCGAATCAGATCTCGTGACAGAAATTAAGAGGAAACTGCACAGAGATAGAGCAGAGGAATAGCCACCATCTGCTAACAAAGTACTGATGCTTGAAACTCATGCGAAAAAAAATCATTCTTTTCACTTCCAAATTTTGACATGTTTGAGTAAGCTTCTCGACATCTACTAAAGTTTGGAATCTATCCCAACTAAACCGATATTTCATAGGTAAAACAATTGTCTATCTGTTCAAGAAAGTGTGTTGGAAAACCAAAATTTCAGCAGACCCATGCAAACTTCAATCAATTAGCTACAGAGCTCGTTTATATTTTTTCTACAGAGCTCGACATTTGCGCTAAGATCTCGTTCAATGATCTATTAATTTTTGGCAGTGCCAAATCGCGGCTTATTTCTAATGTTTGTGTTAACTTAATAATGTAGGAGACTTGGATTTGTTAAACGATTTCCCCCCTTTTGCAAAAGGTGGGATATTCGAAAGTAGGCTCAAATTTCACATATGCATAAGCGTTTAATTAGTTCTTTCTAGGGGTGGCAATTCGTAACTATTAATACTTAAGGGATGGGGAAATAGTTAAAGAAATCCATGGGCTTTTCCTTTCAATTTCAAATAGAAAACTTCCGTATTAATTTCATGATTCGATTTTGGGAATTAATTTCGTATTTGCTGCTTTAGCAGCAAGCAATAAAATTCAGTTATAAAGTCCAAAAAACGTGGCTTCCTTAAAAAAGGGGCAGAACAGAGTTTTTTTCCAAAAAAAAACAAGCTGTGAACAGCTCCTTTGCAAATTTTTCCTTCGCCAGTGCAAAATTTTAATTCACTAACCTATGAACTCTTTCAAAAACGATGATACGACCACAAAAAATGCAACTTAATAACAATCATAGATGACAAGGTAGAAACCAGTCATAACCGTTGCAAGAAAATTTTTATTGTTTTGATGTTGTTTGAAAGAACGGAGCATTTATGATAGCTAACACTTTTTATTCAGAAAGGTTTTGATGATGAAAAAGTGTTATCGGAGTATTTTTGTTACCAGAGTTTTTTTAGTGTTTCAGAATGTTTTTGAAATAAAAACTTTCAGTGAACATTTTCATAAAATTATTTTTCCGACTTTCGATACGAAAAAAGTTGTTTCGACTTTCGATACGAAAGTAACGGATTATTTGTGCTCGGGTGGGTTTTTTTTCTTCAGACAAATTTCGACTTTTTAACTAGCCATTTTGACGGAATTTTTTTATATCATTCAAAAGGTATTATTGTCCTGAGCTTAAATTTGAAAAAAATGTATTTCACCTGTCATTGTTTTTCGATAAGTCATGGGGGTTTAAAGATTGCCATTTTGGCCAATTTGGGTCAATTAACGCGCGATATAATTCGCGCTATCAATGCGTAAGCGGAGATTTAATCCGTCTTAGAAATCGTCCCAAATTGGTTATAAGAAATTTTGCCATAATTGATTTGTTACAAGGAGCAAAATCTATCCTTTTGTACTTTAAATGGCGTGTGAGGGGATGATTTTCATATAGAATTTCAAATTTAAAATAAATATATTTTAATTTATTACATATAATTTTTTTTTGATATTACTGCTCCATAAAACCTTAAAAGGCAGTCGGAACAATCGGGGCTTCTCCTTTACACGAGCTGTCTTGTTTTTATCTTTAAATTAACACAACATTTCTGATTTGCTATGTAACTCACTCTGCGTCAATGCACATAACTGGTAAGACGCAAAAGTTTTGTGCTAAAAGGTTTTGCAAAGTCAGAAAGTTAATTCATCAAATTTTGCATGAAACCATGATAAGCCTTCAACTTTCCGGTTCACTTGAGCAATTAAAACAAAATAAATGAAAAACTAGGCAAAAAGTGTTTTTTTTGTGCGTCCTATAAATAGCCCATCAGAAAGTTTGATTAACCATGAGAGGAAAATTGAAGATTAAATCGTTTCACTGATAGTTCAGAATTGATTGATATGTTCACCATTTAAAGATCATTTACACTTGATCACGTAAAACAGTAGGAACTAATTCATCAAACTGATGTGTTTTAGCTAAAAGACCAATTAAACTTAATTTGTGTTAAATCCCAAGAAACACTTCACGTTGGGCTGTTAAACGTCGTATAGTGGCCCTGATATAATTGTAAGTTTACCTAATTGTGTGGTATTGAATTGCGATTTACACTTCTATTTCAAATAAACCTTCGATGTAGAAAAATAGAAGAGCTATGAATGTTAGCTCACAAGAGCACAATGGTGTTTTTTTCTTTATCAGTATTATACGACATTTTGTTGGATAGGAAAAACCATGAAACCCTGAGGAAAACTATGAGAAACAGCTGACAGGAACAACTATGAGAAACAGCTGTTCTTATTTGTTCCAGTTTTGAGCTAATTAACTATGTAAGTACACAATCTTCATTTCAAAAAACCCCATGTGCTTAAGAGGCGCAAAATTTTTAGTTTGATGGGCATCAATGTTTTTAGATATACAAAACAAACGATTTTTTCCGTCATAAACTAAAATGAAAATAGAAATTTTGCCTAAAGAAAAAACAAAACTAGCACAAAATCCTGATTTTTCGGGGAAAAAAAGATAAAATCATAGCTATTATAAACAGTGACAGGGTACAGTGCTCAGACTAGGTGACCTTAGAGCCCTTTGAGTGATAAATTGAGATGAAAACTCATCAATCGCGCTGAGCTTTTAGTGAAGCAAAGTCGCAACAAAGCTGCTTAGATTTGCGAAAATAGTTGCTCAAAACCTCCGCTATCAAAAATAGGTTGCACACTGCCTCGAAGTTTTAGCAAAATAAAAACGTACACAAAAAGAAGAAGCAGAGTTTTGCAACACTTGCATTACAATTAAAACACTCCATTGCAAGAAATTCGAAAACAAAAAAACTAAAGGAAAACTATGAGAAACAGCTGACAGGAACAACTATGAGAAACAGCTGTTCTTATTTGTTCCAGTTTTGAGCTAATTGACTATATAAGTACACAATCTTCATTTCAAAAAAATCCCATGTGCTTAAGAGGCGCAACGTTTTTAGTTTGATGGGCATATATGTTTTTAGATATACAAAACAAACTATTTTTTCCGTCATAAACTAAAATGAAAATAGAAATTTTGCCTAAAGAAAAAACAAAACTAGCACAAAATCCTGATTTTTCGGGAAAAAAAGATAAACTCATAGCTATTATAAACAGTGACAGGGTACAGTGCTCAGACTAGGTGACCTTAGAGCCCTTTGAGTGATAAATTGAGATGAAAACTCATCAATCGCGCTGAGCTTTTAGTGAAGCAAAGTCGCAACAAAGCTGCTTAGATTTGCAAAAATAGTTGCTCAAAACCTCCGCTATTAAAAATAGGTCGCACACTGACTCGAAGTTCCAGCAAAATAAAAACGTAAACACAAAGAAGAAGCAGATTTTTACAACACTTGCATTACAATTAAAACACTCCATTACAAAAAATTCGAAAATAAAAAACTAACGGAAAACTATGAGAAACAGCTGACAGGAACAACTATGAGAAACAGCTGTTCTTATTTGTTCCAGTTTTGAGCTAATTGACTATGTAACAACACAATCTTCATTTCAAAAAACCCCATGTGCTTAAGAGGCGCAAAATTTTTAGTTTGATGGGCATCAATGTTTTTAGATATACA